GTCCCCCCGGGAAACTCGCCCCCCCGGGGGGGCGCCCGGCAGGGGGGGGGGGGGTTGGGGGGACCAAGTTGGGGGGGGGGGATACGCGGTTCTGGGAGAGGGGAGCACGGTGGGGTGCGGGGATGGACCCCCCCACACACACTTTCTGCGTGGGGTGGGCGAGGAGGGGCCGGTGTCTCCCAGAGCATCCCTGCGTGGGGGGCTGTCACCCCCAACTTGGGATGCAGGAGGGGGGGCGAGGTCTGGATCCACGGTCCTTCCTGACACCCCCTTCCCCTCCTCGGGGTGACACCACCACCCCCTTCCCTCCGTGGGGTGACACTGACACTCTTCTCACCTCCTCAGGGTGACACGGGTGATGTCTCCCCCGTGGGAGTGGGACTGGGATCCGGGGATGATGCTTTCTACACCCAGGGTGGTGGGGGATGGCAGGAGGTTGGGGGTCCCCGTGGGGCACAGCACCCATGTGCTGACAGGGAGGGAGAGAGGGGGCAGGGGATGAGTTGGGGAGTGCTCAGCAGGTCCCACTTAGGGGGTGATTTTAAGTCCTTCCACACCAGAGCCCTGCTGGGGGCTGATTGCCACCTGGGTGGCAGCGGTGTCACAGCCCCCCCAGGGACAACAGGACTCACTGTCCTGTCCCTGGGACCAGCCCAACTCCAGCCTCTTGACCAGAGTGGCAGTGACAGCAAGGACACAGGCAGGGCCAGGCGATGGTGGTGGCCCCATGGTCCTGCTGAACTCGCCCACCAACTTCTCCCTGCCTTCCCTGAGAGGGTCTGGCTCTCCTTTGGGGCACTGCCAAGCCCAGCCTGGGCCACCAGCAAGTCAACAAACCCCATGTTGAGATGTAGTGGTCAACTTTGCCAAGCTCCTTTGGCAGCTGGTCCATGTCCCCAGCACCAGCCCATACCATGTTGAACTGGGCCATGGAGGGTACAGGATTAGCCAGGTTGGGGCACTTGTTGTGTCAGGATGTTCCATAACCACCAAGAACCATCTCATGTGCCTCTTCTGCTCCACCAGCAGCGGGAAGATGGAGAACAAAGCCATGTACCTTCACACCTTCAACGAGAGGGAGAACGGCTCCATCTTCGAGGAGCCCTTTGAGGGAAGGAACCTCTCCAAACTGAACCTCTGCGAGGATGGTGAGTACGGGCTCCACGTGCAGCTTTGAATCTCATTGTAGAATCCTGGGGAGGTTTTGGGGGGGACATGGGAGCTTGGGTTGCTCAGGAAGAAGCTCAGCAGTTTGGTCCCTCACAGACAAAGGTGCTCCAGTTCCAGGTCCCAGGGAACCAGAGCAGAGGAGCAATCCCTGCCCCAGGTGTCCAGGGTGAGGGTACCTTGGTGGAAGTAACACCATGATGAATGTGTGGATCCCAGATGGAGCAGGAAACTTCTCCTCTCTTGTCTCACTGGGGGAAATCCCCAAGGAATCCCATTGCAAGGAGGTTTCTGTGCCTCCTCGCCTGTCCCCTCCTTTCTGGTTTGATTGGGGATGACAGACAGAGGGTCCAGGAACCTCTCGAGGTGTCCAGGCATCGCTGTGTGTGGGTCTTCTCCTGCCCTCCAGCCCCTTGAGGGACTGGAAGGGGCTCCAAGGTCTCCCCGGAGCCTTCTCTTCTCCAGGCTGACCCCCCCCAACTCTCTCAGCCCCCCCTCCCAGCAGAGGGGCTCCAGCCCTCCCAGCATCTCCGGGGCCTCCTCTGGACCCCTGGTGTTTTCTAGGGCCAAGGCCACCACCCCCAGCAGAGACCTTGTGCTCACATGAAGTGATGGCAGGGAGGGTTCCAGGCATCTCCTTGGCTTTGGCATTTTTGTGGCAGGTTGCCCTGCATCTCTCAGGTCAAATCTGCTCATCCATAAGTCACCCCGATGCAGAACTGCCCCCCCCCAGAGACCCCATTCCCATGGGAGAGGTTGCTGGAAGGAGACTTGTGGGGTTCTGCTTGGGGCGAAGCTGCACAGGGCAGGGGCAAGGTCAACCCTGAGACCTTCATCCTGAGGATGGCACCACCTGAGCCCCCCCTGGGCTCACGGAAAGCACTCGGCGTGGGGCTGAGGACCAGTGTGACAACCTGCTGCTTGATGCCACCACCGGGACAACCCCCCTGGACCCCTCCAAGGCCTAAGGGACAACAAGTCCTGGCTGTTTCCAGCCTCCTGCCTCCTGTACCCCCCCTGGCCGGGCGGGCCACCGCTCCAGCTCCCCTGGGCATGGGCAGGGGGAAGAAATATTTGCTTTTCTCCTTGGTTACTGGCCGGGCAAGGTCAACCCTGAGAGCTTCATCCTGAGGATGGCACCACCTGAACCCTCCCTGGGCTCACGGAAAGCGCTCGGTGTGGGGCTGAGGACCAGCGTGACAACCTGCTGCTTGATGCCACCACCAGGACAGCCCCCCTGGACCCCTCCAAGGCCTAAGGGACAACAAGTCCTGGCTGTTTCCAGCCTCCTGCCTTCTGTACCCCCCCTG